GTTGCAAATGGCAAGATTTCATTCCTTTTGATGGCTGCATAATATTCTGTTGTATATGTATACCACATCTTCTTTATCCATTCTTCTGGAAAGACCTCATTCTTAAGAGATCCCATCAGGCACCCCACATGGTCGGACATGCACACGAGGCTTGTCCAGGATCCAGGACTGATCACCTGCAATCAGGACCGGCCCACAATAGAGGTCAGACCTATGCATGCATCTAAAGCAGAAGGCAGAAAGCAAGCTCCACAAGAGAGGGATGATGAAAGGCTGTGGAGGCTGGAAGAGGAAGTGAGCCCATCTGGCTGAGGGCCAGTGGAGGGTCCTGTAATTGGTAGGGGGCAGCTGGGTCCAATGGCAAGGACACTTCACTGGCCAGCAGCATCGGCTTCCCCCGGGAGCTTATTAGAAATGCAGACCCAGACCCACCACAGCCCGGCTGTGACACAATCCACATTTCCAAACGATCCCCAGGGATTTGTACACTAAATTTAGAGACCTGCTGCTCCTCTTCAGTCTCCTCGCCCCTGGCTGCACAGTAGAAGTGCCCATAGTGATGCACAGATGCAGTCTCCACCCGCAAAGATTCTGATTTCATTGGTCCGGGACAGGACCTAGGCATCACGGGTTGTTTTTTGTTTTGTTTTGTTTTGTTTTGTTTTGTTTAAAGAACTTTCCATGTGGTTCTCACGTTCAGCAAACTTTGAGAACAAGAGCTGAGAGGGAGACTGGCAAGTGAGGGGAACATCTTGAGGGCTGTGGAGCATGGGTGCATCTCAAGATGCACAGGCTCAGGCCCCGCTGGTCCAGGTTAGCGGGCTGCAGAGACACGTCCTCCCCACGGCAGGCAGGGCAGAAGGAGTGGAGGACGCAGGTGCGCCGAGGGGGAGGGACCAGTCTGCAGCTCTGATGGGGTCACTGTGCAGCAGTGGGGATGAGCAGAAATACCAGAATTAACTTACATCTTCTTGCCTTCAATTTCCTTATTGGTAAAATGTTCAATTTTGAGGATCATGGTTTTCCCAACTTTTGGCATTTTCGATGTCTTGAGTCTGATAATTCCAGAAATTTCCCCCCCTACTTGGGACAACAAAAATGTCTCCAGCCATGGCTGGAGATGTCCCCTGGGGAGGGCAGGTGCAAAATCACCCCCAGTCGAGAACACTGGTTTCTACGTAGCTGTGTGTGTGTGTGTGTGTGTGTGTGTAATGAGTGGCAAATGAGCCTTTTCTTACCTCGTGGAAACACATGTCTCTAAATTATGATTATTTTCAGAGCAAAACAAAATTCCCCTGAAAGGTGCATGTTTGATGAGGCACCATACGTGGCTGGCACGGTGTCCTTCTGGTAAAAGGCAGTTTGGGGAAGCGGCTAATAAGAGCATGTGCTCTGGGACCAGATTGCCTGGTTGGTAACTCGGGTTGCCCGCATACCAACTGTTAGAGAGCTGGCAAGTTTCCTTTTTTTTTTTTCTTGTAACTTTTTATTTTTAACTGATTTTAAACTTATAGAAGAGTTACAGAAATAGCATCGGGTCCCCGCATACCCCTCGCCTTGCCTCCCTAAACTCAGCATCTCACATAACTGTACCACCGCTTTTTAACTGCCTTTGGCTCAGCTTCCCTATCTTTAAAATAAGGATCTGCCCATCTCATCCAGCTATTGAAGGGACTTAACGGGATAACTCACACGAAATACTCAGAGAAGCGCCTGGTACGTACCAAGTGCTCGGTAAATGTCAGTTATTCTTTTGTTGTTATGCCCAGTGAGTTTAGTGCCTCATTTCAAAGCGATGAGTTTTTAGCAGAGAAATAGACCCCCGTGAGTGAGGAGTGTCCCTGGCCCTTTTGGTATTGGTTTACGCCTACCTGTGTTTGAGACTCCATCTGCCTGGGCTTGCAGTGTAACCCATACGATCCCAGCCCACCTGCTTCTCACTCACTCCTCCCCGACATCCCGAAGGACCTCTGGACTTTATTGGGACCTCCTGGACCCCGTCCACTGCACTGCAGGGGCTCGACCCATGGACCTTGGTTGCTGTTAAGGGAATGAGGTGCCAAGCAGACGGTCTCCCATCCTGTCCTGCATGAGCCCTGCTAACAGAGCCTGCTACTAGAACTGATACTCCAGCTTTGAATCTACTCCATGCTCTCCCTCAAAATGCCCCCTGCAGAATTTTACATGAAAGGATAGATGCTACTAATCCTACGGTGCGTCATAAACTCTCACCGAGCGAACGTGAGGTTCCTGGGCCTCGGTGTTGTCACAGCAAGCAGCAGAAAGGGTCCTGGGCTCTAGCCTTCGCCCAAGGGTATCAGGGCAATCGGTAAATGGCATTTCAACTCACTTTCCCACCCCACACGATGGTGAGTGTTCAGCGTATTTGATAGATGGGAGGACTGGGGCCACCGGAGAGAGCCCATTCTTTTTTATTGTTATGTTAATCACCATACATTACATCATTAGTTTTTGATGTAGTGTTCCATGATTCATTGTTTGTGCATAACACCCAGTGCTCCACGCAGAACGTGCCCCCCTCAACACCCATCACCAGGCTAACCCATCCCCTCACCCCCCTCCCCTCTAGAACCCTCAGTCTGTTTTTCAGAGTCCATCGTCTCTAATGGTTTGACTCCCCCTCCAACTTACTCCCCTTCATTCTTCCCCTCCTGCTATCTTCTTCTTTTTTTTTTTCTTAACATATATTGCATTATTTGTTTCAGAAGTACAGATCCGTGACTCATCAGTCTTGCACAATTCACAGCGCTCACCATAGCACACACCCTCCCCAATGTCTGTCACCCGGACACCCCATCCCTCCCACCCCCCCACCACTCCAGCAACCCTCAGTTTGTTTCCTGAGATTAAGAATTCCTCTTATCAGTGAGGTCATATGATACATGTCTTTCTCTGACTGACTTATTTCACTCAGCATAACACCCTCCAGTTCCATCCACGTCGTTGCAAATGGCAAGAGAGAGAGCCCATTCTTTACCACCCACATAAGCAGCGGGGTGATGGGGAGGCAGGAGGTGCTGTGCAGGACTGTGCCGTGAGCCCCACATGTGCAGGGAGCTGAAGACCACCTGCCCCACAAGGGTATTGCCACTCTGTACGCAGAAGAGAAGTTTCAGTCTCAAACTGATTGCCATGAGCTCAAATGCTTTGGTCTTGAGAGCTTCACTTGGGGAAAGGAGTGGAATCCTAACTCTAGACCTATCCCACGTTCCAGTGAGTTCTGCCCAGCCTGGCACTGGAGAGAGCCTGCCTCCGTGGTAGGTGGTCTAGCTGCTTCATGTCTTTCTCTTTCACTTCCTGCTGTCAGTCTGTTCATCTGTCTGTCTTCCTTTCTCTTTCATAAATGCTCCAGCTCTGGCCATGTCCTTCTCTGTTTGTCTGTCCTCTCTCTCCCAGACCTACACATGCACCTGCAGCCCAGTCTCCCCAGAACCCTTGGCTATTCTAAACACCCTGACCATGGCCAATGTGACTGGAGCTCATTCAAAACCTTGCACTGGTCCCCCCACTTTCAGGCTTTGCTTTCAGGAACCCCAAGAAGCTGCAGATAACTCGGAGACATTCTGGGGCCTGGCCGAACAAGTGTGCCCCTCTTGTCTTCCCTCCCGTCGCTGATCATTTTTGCACACGCTTTTCCAAAGCGCTGTGTGTGAAAATGGTGATTTTGTTTCTGTCTTTCCTCCCACTGCTGTAAGGGTGATCTGGAATGACCAGGTCAAGCTTCAGCTTCAGTTCCTACTTTAAGAAAAAGTCTGATCTCTTTAGAAAGGCACTCCTAGCCCTTGGGGATGTGGCTCCAGCCTTGCTTTGCCATCTGCAGGGCAAGCTGTGTTCACGCTGTCTGTTCTAGAGACATAACCTGAGGAGCCAGGCTGAGGACCACGTTAACGATTTCCATGTCAGCTGCTGTTCTTAAGCATTTTCTGTATGCTAAGCTCTTTATAGGCTTGATTTCATTTAATCCTCAGAACAACCCCGGGGGCTAGGTCCTGGTCTTCCCTCCATCATGCAGGGGCCAAGAGCCCAGGCTCCAGAATCCACTTGCCTGGATTCAAGTCCAGAACACGACCACGTACTAGCTGTGCAAGGTCAGGCGAACTACCCCACTGCCTAGTGCTTCTGTCCATCATAGAGAAAGGGGTTTGAAGGATCTTGGTGGAGAGAAAATGAATTAATACGTAAGAAGCCCTCGGAACAGTGCCTGGTGAGTGGTCAGTAGGGATAGATACCTGTTTGCTGCTCACTCCCAACCCCTTAGCTGCTGTGCTGTCAATACGGATGTGGGTGACCAGATTTCTTTTGCACAGGCAGCATCAGTAGAGGGTCCAGGGTGCAGTCACTGCGCCTGTCCTTCAATGAAAGGGGCCACAGAGCAGGTGTCCGCACCGGGCGTAACCACGCTTCCCAGCCTTAGCTACCACTCTGCCCCTGGAACACGGTGCAGACCTTTTCCGTCGACTTGTTCACCAGGTCAAAAGCATTCAAGATGCAATCCGAGACAAGAAGCAGCGATTCAACTTCCTTGGGGAGGAGATTAGCCTGGATCCTTCTGTGGGAATCTTCATCACCATGAACCCGGGCTACGCCGGCCGCACGGAACTTCCAGAGAACCTCAAGGCTCTCTTTAGGTGAGTGTCAGCCCTGCCCCATGTAAGGGCCTAAGAGAGAAACTGCTTCTACTTTTTTCCACTGAAAATGTATGGCATATATATTAGAAGAAATTTGGAACACATAAAAAAGTAGAGTTTATAAAACCACCTTTCATGCTATCACCGGTAAAATTATGTCTTGCTTAATTCTATTCTGTTCTCCTTTATATAGGGTATTTTAAAGTCCTACATTTGTGGTCAACACAGTTTCATATTGTTTTGGTTTTTTCCACTTCATACTCTATCATAATCCTATCATAAATCATCTCTTCTATTTAGTTATTCTTAAGAAATCTAATTTCATGGCTACATTTTATCCTACCAAGCACATGGTCCACGGTGTAATTAAGTAGCCCCCCATATTTAAATATTAAGATGGTGTCTAATATTTAAAAGAAATGTGTACATAATGCTGTAATGTGCATCTTTGTATATAAGTCCTTTTCTCTATGTGCATGATTATTTTCTTTCGCTAACTTCCCAGCAGCGGAATCACTGAGTTAAGAGGGAGGCGCATTTTAAGGCTTTTTTTTTTTTCTGTTTTTTTTAAATTTTTTATTGTTATGTTAATCACCATACATTACATCATTAATTTTTGATGTAGTGTTCCATGATTCATTGTTTGTGCATAACACCCAGTGCTCCACGCAGAACGTGCCCTCTTTAATACCCATCAC